ATCACTTCAAAGACATAAAGCCGAACATCAGGATAGTTGGGACATCTCCGGGGTTTCTCCTGGATCTGTGGTATCCCCTACTTTTCTTTCATTTGAATTCCTTAAATAATTGTTCACATTTTGAGCCATTCTCATTTGACTTTCTTATGTCTAATCGTGAAAACCTAAACTTTGAAATCTTGAAAGCAAAACTACCTGATCTTAATCGAGAGTTATCTTAAGTGATTTCGATCATTTAAGATGTAATTAACTATAGGGGCTTGCCTCTATAGGGAACCAGGAACCCAGATAAAATAAACCCTATCTAATTTTTATGTTAGATAGGGGAACTTGTTGGCCTTTTTATAAAATATTTCGCAGATCAAAACGGATGTCACAAATTGTTTAGTCTGGATGATTAAATCCCTATTACAAGTAATATATTTATTCTTCGGGATAAATGTATTGCTTGTAGTATTGTATTAAATCATCTAAACTATTAAAAATGTGAGACTCGTTTGGTCTCACTTATTTTAAAAATTAAAATGTTACTTCTTTAAAAAAAAAGTTATATTTATATTATTTTCGAAATCCCAAAATCATCACCTTTTCAAACTACGAAAGTGAAGTTGAACAATAAAACGGCCGACAGCTGGTCATGGATTACTTAAGTATGTACATTTCATTCCCTTACGACATTCCTATACTGGGGTCTCAGTTACAGCGGTGCTTATCCGGGAAGTGATCCATTTGTATGAGGTGTGGGAATTGATTGTATCAAATAGAGAAAAAGTGTTCTTTAGCCATTTTTGGAAACAACTATTTAGATTGCAAGCGACAATCCTTAAAAGGAGCATCACATATCATCTCTAGACTGATGGGTAGATGGAGGTGGCCAACTGGAGTGTGGAGACATACCTACGTTGCTTTGTACTTGATATACCGAAGTTATGGGCTAAGTGGATTGCATGAGTCGAATATTGATATAATATTTCGTACCACACTGCAACACAGACAAACCCTTTCAAGATATTATATGAGTTGGAGGGGAGGTACATGATACTAGTAGAGGTCAATGGGCATCTTTTGAGGGCTTAACAAATTGTGAAGAGGAATGCAGACGAACACATGAGAGAGACGCAATTCGAGCTAGAGGACATGACTTACTTGAAATCGAGGCTTTACGGACAGAAAACATGGGCCAAGAGGAGCGAAAAACTTTTATTGAGATACTTTGGGCCTTATGAGGTGATGACACACATCGGAGCAGTGACCTATCATTTGAAGTTATCACCATTATCCACACTACATTCGGTTTTCCATGTATCACGATTGAGACGTGCGATTGGAGATTATACATCCTCATCTACACTACCGCCGACGCTGATGGAGGACTTGGAGGTGATTCTGGAGTCGTTAGAGATTGAATAAGTGAGGCGAGGACTCGGGGGCACGAAGGAAGTATTAGTTAAGTGGAAAGGACTACTAGACTATGAAGCAAAATGAGAGCCTTATGAGGTAATCCACAAGCAGTTTTCATCATTCCGTCTTGAGGACAAGGTACTTTTTTGTGAGGGGAGTAGTGTTACGCCGAATGCTTTCCCACCGGCCAACCAAACCAACAGAAAGGCCGATCCTGCGCGAATGAAGAGGTGGGGCGGCACTTTGCCGTAGGAGAAGAATGTAGGTAAAGGCCGGGGTCCATTCGTGCCATAACCATATATTCAAGGAAGAGAAATGGAGGGCATTATAGAAGGAAAGTTTTCAAATGCTTTGAAAGGTTTCTATTAAGGGAGGAACTTAGGATTTGTTGTGGGCTATGCATTATTTTGTGATTGCTGGTTTTTTCTTCTTTTTGGTGTTGTTCCTAGTGACATCTAGGGTGTGGTAGAGCCAATCAGCCTCTTGAAGATGGATCATTTTTTGTATTTTGCTTGTTTTTCCTTTGATTGTTGTAAGAGCACCCCTTATTTGTGTCTTTCCACCTATCTATTATGATTTCTTTGAGGTTTGTTCTTTAATTTTGGTGCCTAGGCTTTTTAGATTGATGTATAAATTTTTGTGATTTCTTGGTCCCACGGAGTTATTTGTAGACTTTTGATCATTTTGTCGAATATAATTTAATAATTTTTTCAAAAGTTGATTAATTACTGAATTAGCTGACTATTTAGTTATAATTGAATTCATTATGACTGGCAATGTATGTTTAGATATTCATAGAGGATGATTAGAAATTAATTTAGCTCATTATTTATTGGTTAATGATAATTAAAATTTAAAATTGATTTACTAGGGTCATTAGTAATATAATAATTACTAATTCTACATCAGATATCTTGCGAAGCTCCTACTTAAATCTTATATTCATCCATAAATTCAATCCTGAAACTAACCACCAGACAGTTTGTGTTGTTTTGACCAGATTTATGGCGGCTATGTAAACAATTTTCTAGGTTTAACATCCCTAGGATTTACTAAATTTGAATTTACAGAATTCATTACATCCTACTTGGAACCAAGCAAGCCATTATTATAACCTCTCCCAAGTCTTCTCCTGTTCCTAAAGCTCTTTACTCAGGCTTTCAGCACTCAAAACCTCACTCAAATATGTAAGCTTCCTTCTTTAGTCTACAAAACATGAAAATCCAACCCATGCAATCCTTAAACCCTTGCAATGAGACATGGAAAAGGACTCGTGGCTAGGCAATACATGCTCAATCATGCACTAATGCAGTTCCCAAGATCGAATACAAAGCCTCCAAGCATTACACTAGTTTCCTCGTCGCTAGTACCTTCTCGAAAATTCTCTCTCTCGCGCGCGCGCACAAACATAACAAAAAAATCATGGGGCATTTACATATATATGCCACCCAATTCTTATGTATTTACAAATCTAACCCTTGAACTTTACTTTTTTACATTTATACCCTCAAATCTTTCATATCACATGAAAATACCATTATTTTAACTTTGAAAAAGTTAATAAACTTCTTTATTCATAGGTAAGGTGGCATATATGCAAAAATTGAAGTTTAGGTGTTGGATAATAAGACATGAGTGGTATGCATATAAATCTTTCTAAAAAAATCATATATACAGTAATCCCTGAGCAGAAAAAAGCTGGGAAAAATGTATATACATTATTGATTTTTTAAAATGCACAAACAATGAGCTTCAAATTACTTTTACTATCGAGCTAGCTTAAGTTTGAGAAGAAAAGCATTATATATATAATCATCAATATGATCTGATTAAAGTAAGCAGATACATTTAAAAATGTATCCTAGGAGAATAATTAACCACGCATTGGACAAGTTGTAATCGTGCCATCTTAGGGATTAACATTTAGTAGGGAAATTTACATACTACCTCATAATTCTTATGTATTTACACATCTAACACCCAAAGTTTGATATTTACAGCCTTTGCATGAAAAGGTGTATTTCACTTTTACAAAGGTAGTGATGGTGGTATTTTTTATGTGATGTTAATGATTTTATGGTCTTGTCTCCATGTAAATATGAGTGTTTAGATCTTTGATATGTAAATACATAAGAATTCTGTGGTATATATGTAAATGCCCCTATTTGTTAACACCTGGGATATTATACACCCGAATAGGCTAGAACTTCATTTACTCCTGGCATGCCTTTTTTATTGACTAATGAGTTAGTGGGTTCCTTTGTTATTTCTTTATTTTGTCATTCTCTTATAGTGCCAGAACTGCAAGGTGAGCCAGAAGAGATTTCAAAAGCAAAGGCCCGTTTGGCTGCAACTGAGGTATTTCCATAGACATTTTTAAAGCTAAATGCTCACATTATTGTGAGTTTTATCTTTCCATAAATCCTTACATACGTGCCGCCCAATTCCTATGTATTTACATATCTAACACCTTAAACTTTAATATTTCCCTTTAAACCAACCAGTAACTTTCATATCACATAAGAAACACCATTATGTAACTTTCAAAATGTGCATAGGCATGGTGGCTTGTATGAAAAAATTGAAGTTTTATTTATTTTATTTTATTTTTTGAAGCAATGAAGTTTAGGTGTTAGATATGTAAATACATAGGGTTCATGTAGTATTTTTGTAAATCTTCCAAATATTTAAGGTACCATTATGTTGCTCCTTTTTTTGCTTGAACCTTTTATTTTTGAGTATTTTTGTTACCTGATAGGTAAATGGGCCAGTTCTTGTTGAGGACACCTGTCTTTGTTTCAATGCTCTTAATGGTCTACCTGGTATTTTCTGTTCTTTGGGTCATTACTCTTAATGTCATTTCTGTACTCTTAAGAGGAACATTTGGTTTTATTGTCACAGGTCCCTACATGTATGCCCTTGGTTCTTCCACTGTAACTTCTTTATCATATGATTTAGAGGAATTTACATACATACCTAACACCTAAAGCTTACCATATATATGTAATATGTATGTTCAACTTTTATGTCAAAATCACATCAAAAACATATAACATTTGCTGAAAATTGTATTTCATTTAAAAAAAAGTTAGTAATAGTGATTTTTTTTATGAGAGGTTAAAAATTTCGAGGGTATTCAAGTAAATATTAAAATTGAGGTGTTAGAAATGTAAATACATAAGAATTATGTAGTATGTCTGTAAATTCCTCTATCATTTAACCTTATGTGCTTCCATGAACTGCAGTATTCTCCTTTTCTCATGAATCTTTTCCCATACCTTTTCAAATCAAATTTCTAATGCTGAAACATTTCAGAAAGTGGTTTCTCGAGAAGATTGGACATGAAGGTGAGGGACACCATACTTATTTTGCATTAAGGTATTATGCAACAATCAAAATAGTGCTGTTTACAAAACTAGCACCCATGTGATTTTTTTTAACTACTGAACTGATGCATTTACGCGTGCCATGATCAAACCATTAGGAATTTGGTAAAATGAAAAATAATGGTTTTGGTTTTATCTTGAATTTTGTTTTTTGAGGGAGAATTTGAAAAATGGGTGAAAAAGAATGCTAGATTTGTAAATAGCAATGTTTCGAGTGATATGTATTGAATTGCCCCTTGCATTAACCCTCTTATAAGATTATCTAACTTCCAATGTCCATTCGATATTATTATTAGTTTTTTTAACTTTTTCCACGCAGGTTTGAACAATCTGCTGGCAGCTTATGAAGACAAATCAGCTTATGCTGCCTGCGTGTTCTCTCTTTCTCTTGGTCCAAATACAGATCCTTTGACGTTTGTTGGGAAGACAATGGTAAACTTTGGTGCATTATAGTTCCCACTTTATCTCAATTTGCAAGGTTTAATTTTTATGTCATTAAGAAAACGTGCTATGTTTTCTTTGTTGTAGGTCCTTTTGGGAATTTTAATGCCCTAATTTTTATTTTACGGAGAAAATATGTTATGCAGATTTAGTCGATCGTTGTTGTGGGATTTTTAATGTCCTAGATTTTTTTTTTTTAATGAGAACGGGACTCTGTCTTTATGCTGTTTTAGAAGAATTAGGGTTTGTAAATCTTCACAATAAAATTATGGGGCATTTACATATGTAACACTCAATTTCTCGTATTTATTAGGACCCAAAATTTACATTTTACATTTAGGCCACCCAAGTTTTTCATATCACATAAAAGTAAAGTACCACTATTTTAACTTTTACAAAGTGAAATATACCTTTTCATGCAGTGGTAACATGACATATATGTAAAAATTAAAGTTTGTGTTAGATGTGTAAATCCATAGAAATTGAGTGGTATACATGTGAGACTTCCTAAAAGTATAATGAAATTTGTCACGATTACAACATTTTTGTGGCCATAAATATTTTTAAACTCTTTTTTTTTTGTGCGTTAATATTCTTTTATGTTTCCTTCTTCTTATTTTATATTTTTTGCATTTGATTGAAATTTTTTCAATCTCCCAACACTTAAATACAACTTGTGTATGTGCATTCTTCTTTTTATGCCATTATCCTTTAATGCTGTTATTTTCGGCAATCGTAGTTATTTCTGTTCCCATAACAGTATTGTTACAATGAATGCAAATGTTGTAGTCGGATGCAAATATTGTAAAAATTTCAGCTCCTGTTGCCGTCTCCTCTTATTAATTGTTTTTTAGTCTTCTATTAATATGTAGGGGAAAATTGTACCAGCAAGGGGCGCGAATGATTTTGGATGGGATCCAGTTTTCCAACCAAATGGATATGAACTAACGTAAGGATTTTTTTTTTCTCATTTTATTAAATTTTTTATAAATATTAGAGACAGCGGTGTGCATGTTTGAAAGTTATAATTTTAATGAGTATGATTGAATTGAATAATATATTGACTCAAGGATGTCTATGTATATACAATAGAAAAGATAAATAAAGAAAAATATAATAAATGATGATATCATGAACATTGGCTGAACCAATGGTAAAGTTGAAAAGTGATGAAATAAAAAAAAGAAAAAAATCGAAGGACGACGAGTATTGAAGTCTAAAACTTTCATCTCCTTAAATTTTTATTAAAATTATTATTAATATGATTGTTAAATTAAAACACAATTAAAATAAATTATTATTAAGTATTTTATTTAGGAGGTCAAAACTTTTAATGTATTATATGATATTAAAGAGTTTAGTACAAATCTGGTGGTGATGGACTCCTCTAGCCATCTTCTCATTCCAGCACTAATCATATTTCATTAATGTTAAGGATATATTAGAATAATTAATTTTATTGATTCCTGATATAAATATTAGACATATATGATAATATTGATTAATTTTTCATTCTATATTTACTTTTTAATTAATAAGGATATTCCTTATAATGAGCATATATTACAATAATTAGTATTATTGATTTATAATATAAATTAGATGCATATTTTATAATTTGATATTGATTTGATGTGACAAACAATGAAATAAGCAAAAGAAAGAACATAGATTTTACGTGGAAAACCCAATACGGGAAAACTATATGTTGATGAGGAGAATTCACTATACAAAATCAGAAATTACAAGAGGAGAGCTTTGACCATCTTTAAATCATAGTAGGAAAAAATTAGTGATTATAAAAAAAAGGAGGATATTTATATTATTTAGCAAGTCCCCTTTAAAGAAAATAATTAAAAGGATTCAATAAAACAATAACACACGGATTGCAATCTAAAAACTATTATAAGATTGATCAAATGGTCGAAGCCTTCAATCCGCCTGCTCACGGTTTCCTTTTAGATTTCAATTCGCTTGCTAATAATTTTTTAATAAGAAGATAAGCGAGACAAATTTTGGTCATAAATTTAGGAATCCCAACCTTTCATAAAGTATGAATAGTAGAACTTTAAATATGAATAAAAGAACTTTCTTCACCTCTTCCATAAAGTTCTAATATTCAGGATTGAATACCAAGCCTAAGTAATGCTCAAATTTGGTTATTGGGAGTGTCTTAGTCATTATATTTGCAAGATTATTTTGAGTATTGATTTGCTTACATAAATATCTCCACGAGCAATAACTTCACGAACAAAGTGATAGCAAACATCAATATGCTTGGTTCTATCATTAAAAATTTGATCTTTTTGAGATAAATAACAACCTAACTATCACACTTTAGTGTACAAATTTTAAATCTTCACTAAAGTTTTTAAATAGACATTTCAAACGAAGAGCTTTTTTAGAAGCTTCAGTAACTGTCATGTCCTGAGCGTCAGTTGTAGATAATGTCATTGTTTTCTGTAAAGTTCCTTTCTAACTAATTGCAAAACTTCTATTAATAAACACGTATCTTGTAAGTGATCTTCTATTAATATCTGTAACATAATATAAATCAATATAACTAATGATTATTTGTAATCCTTTCAATATATTTTGTTTCACATAGATACCGTAGAATTCATTGAACTATTTTCCATTGCTCTTTACTTGGATTGCTCATATATCTGCTAACTGCACTAAGTACATATGATAAATCTGGACGAGAATATATGATAGCATATTTGAGAGATCCCACAACACTGAAATATAAAACTCAAGACATATGGGAACACAAAGCTGATGGCAGTCTAAAATCACAGTTAATGAAGTACTAATAGGTTTGACATTCTGCAAATTGAACATATGGATAACTTTTTCATTGTACCTTATTTGATTCAAAAATAACTTATTTGCCTTTTTATTTCTATAAACCATGTCAATTATTTTCTTTGCAGCTCTCAAATTCTTCATCAAACTCACTGTTAAGTTTAGTTTTTAACATTTGATAGCTTCTTTATTCTTAGCAGCTATCAACATATCATTGACATATAAGAACAATTCGATAAATGATTTATTATTATTTTTCTTGAAGTAAAGACAACTATCATAGCCACTTTTCTTAAACTCGTGGTTAATTGAAAATTTTTTATATCACTGCTTATAAGACTATTTTAGGCCATAAAAGATTTTCTTAACCAACAAACATTATCTTTCTTTCTTATAATCATGAAGCCTTCATGTTGCTTCATATAGATTCTTTCCGTTCATTTTTTTTAATTTTAAAAGGAGTCATCAGCTTATCGATCGTCGTATATTTCCCTTATTCGAATAAATCTTTCTCCTGAATCAGATCAGTGATTCTAAGAGGAGAGGAACCGAATAAGAAGGAACATACGATATTGAGACAAATAAGTGAAAATACAAAACGTGGAGAGTCTACGTGCGATAAATTTCACAAGGATAGGTCAAGCATGTTTGCCCAAACAAGATCGGGCGTAGGCACCTTGAACCATCATCCGCGAAAGAAGTATTTACGTAGACTACCTATAATCAGAGAGCCAGGTGTATGTTTCTATTATGGGGCCAAGAGTACTCTCAGAGGAACGTGTTGCTATTTGTTAATTATATATTGAAGGATACCCAAAAATACTCTCGATAAAAGAAGTTTCGGTTTATGTTATCATAGACCTGGGGTATAGACAATCGAATGAAGGTTATTCCACGTAGGAACAATCCTAATACTTTAAATCTCACGCTAAGTCTTCGGGCAGAGAGTGAGTCTCTCACATCCCGAATGAGTAGCGACTCATCGACACATGGGGCCCACTGAATAACCTAAATCATTTTGACGGGATATCCCAACATGTCAAATCATGTTTAGGTCATAAGAGCAGAGGACAAATCGTCGTATTCCAAATGGGCGGCAACTGATCAGTATTGGGCCCTCAAGGTGATATAAACGAAGTTAAGGAGAAGGGGCTCAACAAAAAAGATTGTAGACTGATCCTAAAATGGTAGAGAAAACTGGGTCAGGGTACCACGACCCGTCATCCACAGTTATTAGGATCCTAAATCTACCAGGTTGTGAAGTTAGTCTACCTAACACGTCCTGAGATCCCTGGTCATCATTCTGTGAATTGCATCATCCACGGGGGTCTCGGTAGCCCTAAGGTCAAAAGAAGGAAACTCTTTCTTATAACAATAAGCTGGAGCTCTCAGAGGTGGTACTTATACTTGCCGAAGTGGCGAGGATGCGTCAAGAAAGAAGAGGAGGGGAGGTTCAGTTATAAACTTAAAATGCTCCAAACAAAAGAACTTATATCCTATATGGGTCGGGGAGTTTTTTAACACCCTTGACGCATTAGACAACCACCTATGTAGAAAAATGAATGTTGGGTCAGTCGGACTGAAGAAACACTGGGACTCCTCGAGACATACAATATGAATGCAGTTATCTAGAGCGGTCCTTAAGTGTCGTGGAGACCCTATTAATATATGCTGGAAAGTAAAAATGTAGTTTTTTAAATCCTGAATATTTTTATCTTAAATTTTAATATTAAATTTTAATTATCTTGAATATTTTATTTAGAATTTAGTAGGAAAATCTTTAGAATTTTAAAACTTAAAGAGCCTATTTTGCGTTATGAAATCCCAAATTACAGAAAAAAAAAAAAAAAAATGCAGACACAGGCATATAGACATGCAAACATGTGACAAAAAGTAAAACAAACTAAATAAACTAATAAAAAGACTGGTGTCGCTCGATCGTCAATATATCCAAAAAAAGAAAGAGCGGTCGGACTCCGTATGGTGTCGCTCGATCGTCAATATATCCAAAAAAAGAAAAAGAGCGGTCGGACTCCGTATGTACATGCCCGGTCCTAATTCTATACAACAATATAAAAATGCAGAATTAAGATATGGGGCACGCCTTCATGTGGTTCCCGCGCCGAATACCTCAAAACTCGTGCCCGTATATTATTTCTGCTACAAGACTCTCCTAAATTCTAAAAGTACATAGGAAAAGAAAAGACTCAACCCTGCATGAAAACAAATATTAACAGGAAAACTCACATGCATATAACGTATCATGAGCCATGCCTAATAAGTGGGGGAGCTAAATAGAATCTGCAAGCAAATATTTAGAAATCGTTACTTGCTCCCTCCATGATGATACCTGTGTGTGTGCAAATAAACAAGCATATCTCCCTGCAGAAGAACACTCTTGCACGCTATCATACATATGAGACATACAGTCACACTACAAACACAATGCAAAAGAAAGATGTCTGACTGGGGAAACTAATCCCGCAAAGTACAATAGTCAGATATCAAAAAGACTACCTAGCACCCTAAATCCTAGCATAACACACAATCTAATGAAAGATGCATTAACCTAGTATCTAAGCGCGTGATAAGTCTGAGTATAGTATGACTATGATCGGGTCGCCATGTCAGCCTCATCTTAAAAATCCGAAAGATCTAAAGGGCGTCATGAAGAGGGGTAACACAAGTTAGATCCATCTGCGCTAAGACAACTCACATCTTAAACTGTCAAAATGAAAATCTCATGTTGTGATCTAAAAGTGGGATGTTGTACTTCATTATTGTCATTGTCAAGATCAAAACTTGTCTCTGATACCATTTATTATAACTAAATATTGAATTCAAACAATGAAACAAGTAAAAGAAAGAGCATTCACTCTATAAAATCTAAAATTACAAGTGGAGACCTTTTGGCTAACATAAAATCAAAGGAGTGAAAATCAAATGCCTTAAACAAAATTAAATGAAGTATTTATAGTCTTTTGCAAGACCATTTTAAAGAAAATAATTAAAAGAAGCCAATAAATAATAACATAAGGATTACAATTTAAAGACTATTATAAGATTGATCAAATGGTTGAAGTCTTTAATCTGCGTGCTCATGGCTTTCTTCTAAAGCTTCAGTCCGCGTGCTTACAGTTTTTTTCTAAAGCTTCAGTCCGTGTGCTTACAATTTTTTTCTAAAGCTTCAATCCGCGTGCTCATAATTTTCTTTGACGATGATAAGCGAGACTCACAAAATTTGGCTAACAAATTTAGCAGTATTTTTATCATAATATTGATTATTTATCCTAATATTTGTTTTATTTGGGTGCAGTTATGCTGAGATGCCAAAGGAGGAAAAGAACAAAATATCACACCGTTCAAAGGCTCTGGCTTTAGTGAAATCACATTTTGCTGCTGCAGGTTATCATTTTCAGAACTATGATTCTTCCTGACTTATAAACAAACTGAAAACTTACTGAATCAGACCAATGAGCTGTATTGTTATTCATATTTTAAGCTTTGCTAACCTTGTCATTGCAGCCATAAACATAAAAACCATCATTTGTCCAACAAAAATTTCTATATTAAAATTTGAGGTGGAAGGAAATTCTGGTAGTGCATATTTTTTGGGCTTCCAGGAATTGGTAGAAGCTGGTAAAGTTGGTAACATTTCACAACAAATTTGCAGAGATAAATAAAAATCTGTTATTAATTAGAATATAGAAAATGACACCACAAATGATTAATCTTTTAGTAGTTACAAAAACTTCAATACAAAATTTCTTTTGGGCAATTTAAGTTGCAGGCGTCGATGACAACAATATTGATTCTTACGCGTCGGATGTAAATTTGACAGCAGCCTATAACCTATACTAAGTATGAATAGTAGTGTCTTTAGCAATGTTGGCATATTTAGATAAAATTGTGAATATTGTTAGTTCTTCAAACCATAGGTAATATTGTTGAAAATTTTGAATGCACCATGTTTGATAAATAGTAATCATGATAGTAGGATGGTTGTGAATTTCTTTGAGGTGATTGAAGTTATAGATGTCGATGGTATAGATACTGATTTTTATGCTTGTTAGTTGTAAGTGCGACAAAAGCATGCGGCAGTTAGAATGTGTGTCTTCAGCAATGCTGTTGATTAAAATTTGAATGTTAGCTCTTCGAACCATAGGTAAATTCGTAAAATTTTTTATTGTGCCTTATTTGATAAATGGTAATCATGATGGTAGGATAGTTGTGGATTGTTGCCGAGGGTTGTAAAATTTTCAAATGGTGATTGACAATGGGGTTTTGAGACGTGATTAATGTAGTTATTATGGGTGTAGAATATTCAGATAAGCGCTGACTAATTTTTAAATGATGATAGATAACAATTTTGCTTTTTTCATATATAATGTGCTTGTTGGTGTTTATATGCATAGCTAAGATATTGGTGATGATGAATATCATTAGAGATGGATTAATTTCTTCACCTATTTTCTTTATTTGATTTTAATTGGTAGTATTAACAATTGGAATATTTATTTCTTCATCTATCATTTTAGTTCGAATTTTAAAGTGCCGTTCAGTTTCACTTTTTTATTTATTTTTATTTATTCTATTATTTCTATGTTAATATTTAATTAAAGATTTTCTGCGTATATAGTGAATACTCTAAACCTATTTTTGTTGAAGATAAATGGTATGGATGAATTGTAGCTTGGATTTAAATATAATAGCGATATGAAAAAACGAGAAAAAAGGTGGAAATTTACATACTTATCACACAATTCTTTTGTATTTACATATCTAACACTCAAATTTGATATCTACACTTAAAACACTTTGGTGTAATAAACCTATGCATGAAAATGTGTATTTCACTTTTAAAAAGATAGTGATAGTGATATTTCTGATGTGACGTTAAAGTTTTGAGTGGTATGTTTGTAAATATGAATGTTTAGGTGTTATATATGTAAATATATAGTAATTGTGGTATGTATGTAAATGCCCTTAAAAAACACTGCAGTGCAAAAGGGCAAAGCATTTGATAATTGTAATGTACATAATTTTTTTAATCTTTGACGAATCATTGGCAAATTATGTTGTTTTCTTGATTTTTTTGTTTGTTGATGAAAGAATTAAGGAAGGTTTACCATCTGCTCTCCTAATTTGGTCCTCAAATGTCTACATTTAATGTGACTAAACCATCTTAGGAGACTCTCTAATCTTGTCTGTCACTAGGGCTATTCCAATTTTTTCCCGGATATATTCATTTCATATTTTGTCTCCAAGTGTAAGGACATTCATCCATTAGGCCATTATCACCTTAGCAGCACTTGACTTGATTTTGTGCTTGTCTTTTACAGGCCAAAATTTTGTGCCATAAAGTATTGCAAATCTTGCCATAATATTTTTTTGTCTATGCATTACTTTTCTATCATAGAAATGGGCCTGATATATTCTTAGCAGCACTTGACTTGATTTTGTGCTAGTCTTTTACAGGCCAAAATTTTGTGCCATAAGGTATTGCAAATCTTGCCATAAATATTTTTTTGTCTATGCATTACTTTTCTATCATAGAAATGGGCCTGATATATTCTTCTAATGCAACCATCCAACTTAAATTCTACTAATAGCATTGCCATCTATATCACCTTCGCTTTTATAGTAATAGACTCAAGATATATTAAATGTTCACTCTTTTTCGTGACTTGATCACCCACTGCTACAACATCCGTTACTAAATAATATTACATAAAATTACATTCCATCTATTCAGTTTTAGTTCTACTCAAACTAGAACTTTTAGACTCTAAAAGTTGACTTTCCATAATTCAAGGTTTTCTTGAACCCTCTCTAGTTTTACCCACAAGAAGGAATTCATCAATGAAAGACATACAACAAGTTACCTCCTCCTAAAAATGTCTAGTAAGAATATCCATATAACAACAAGCTTTTATCCCACTAAGTGAGGTCGACTACATGATTCATTTTTTTCCATTGTCCTACTGTACTTCTAATAAATTAAGATATTTCTTATACAACTTGTTTGAGTATTTTAGGTCTATCTGTACCTTAACATAAGTCAAATTTAAAACAATTACTCAGCTAATTGGGTCATCAGATGGTCAACGTTTAATGCGACCAAACCATCTAAGGAGACTCTATAATCTTGCCTGTCATTGGAGCTACTCCAACCTTTTCACGGATATATTAGTTAAAACCCTTTCATCCACCCGAGCATTCTCATCTCAATAACAATCAACTTAAATTTTTTGCTTTTCTTTTAAAGGCCAACATTCTGCGCCATAAAGCATTGCATGTCTCACCAACATCTTATAAATATTTTCTTGAAGTTCAAGCATTACTTTTCTATCACAAAATATGCTTGATGCATCCCTCCACTTCAAACATTCAACTTGAATTCTACGCATAACATTCTCATCTTTATCACCATCACTTTGAACAATAAACCCGAGATCTAAAATATTCACTCCTTTTAATGATTTATCAACCACTGCTACAACCCTATGCTTAGATATACTACAATCAAAGTTGCACCATGTATTCAATTTTAGATCTAATCAAATGAAAGCCTTCATATTCTAAAGCTGACTTCCATAATTCAAATTTTTACTAAATTTTCTTTCTAGTCTAATCCACAAGAGGAATGCCATCAACAAAAATCATAAACCAAGGTACATCATCTTGTAACTGTTCCTGTAAGAACATCATAACTAAAGAAAAAATATATGGGCTTAAAGTCAATCCCTGATATAGTCCACCTAAAATAAGAAAATACTTAGCCAATATTCCTTGTGTTTGAACACAAGTAACAACTTTAATATACATATCTTTAATGACTTGAATATAAACAATATTGATACATTTCTTTTCTAGAATTTTTTAAAATACTTCTTATGTTGATCCCCATTACTTGCTTTGTGCATCTGCATCAAACTGCTGAATAAATGTATAGCTTCCATAGTAGATTTGTCTGACATTAATCCATATTGATTTTTAGAAATTTTTGTATCAAGTGTGACTTACTCTCTCCCATAACTTTAATGCATGACATGCTAATTGTTTTATAATTTGCACTCTTGTGCTTCCCTTCTATTCTTAAAAAATATAATTAATAGATTTTTTTCTCCACTCATCAAACATCTATTTAGTTTTCAACATAATTTAAAAAAATCTCAAGATTTCTTAAATATTTTCATGCTTCTAGTGAAATATTATTAGATTCTATTGTTTTTTCAAACACCATTTCTTTGAAACCTTCCCAGCTTCTTTTTACCAATGCAATGCTAGAAATAAAAAAAAATGTTATTATTTATGATATTAAGATCATTAAAGTCGATTGTATTTTCACAATATTCATTGAAAAATGTATCAAAATATTACACCCATCTATGTTTAATATCATCCTTTAAGAATTTTTTTTTTGATTTTTATCCTTAATACACATTACTTAAACAAACTTGTTACTTTTTTTTTTCTTTGTTTGGTTTGTTTATAGATATATATCTTTCATTTTCTTTAATATCTAATTCATTTTTAATATCATTAAAAAGAGAATTTTTCGGTTCATAAATTTTTTTTTTAGATTTCTTACAAATTACTTTATATTTTTTTCCAATTCTCCAAGTTGTAACATTTAAACTAATTTTCATTAAAAAATTCTTAATTTTTAATATTTTTTTACACATTATATTACTGCCAATTATTTTTATTCATGAGTTTTTTATTTTGATGCTTCAAGCACTTCTTTTGCAACTTAATTGATAGTACTCGTACTTTATTTCGTAGTATTTGTTTTTTCTTTAACATCCAAGATTTTAAGATATTAAATTTAATTCATAAAAAAAAAAATTATGTGTTATTTAATTGCACATATTTAATTTTATGATAATATTTTATTATATTTTTCATATTCCAACCATTTATTTTAAAATCTAAAATTAATAATTGATGTTGGGTCCTTGAACTTTCATATGGAATGACGTTATAATATTGAGAATCTCGATAATATATTTCTCTCATAAGTAAATTATCAGTTTTTATGTTTTATTATATTTTTTATTATAAGTGATAATCTGTTCATCTCTTTTTTTTATATAAAATATTACTAATAATAAAATTATAAGCTAAAGAAAAATTTTATATGAATATTGTTTTTATTAGTTTCTTCAAAATTATTGTATTCATGAATAATTCTAAAAGTTTTTATCATTTTATCAACATCTTCATTTAAATCTCTGATAGTGAAAAGCATTTCTTCAAAATATATCATTTGTATTAATTCTTCTAGGCTATTCTAAATTTTTTTCTGAACATATATTCAATCTTACTTAGTATTAGGAATCTTAGTATAAGAACATCATAATTGAAAAAAAAGGTTATAAGCTTAAAATTGATTCTGATGTAATTTCAATGTAAAAAGAAAATATTTGATCAACTGTCATTACACAAGTAACAACTATAGTAAACATATTTTAGATGACTTGAAAATAAGTACTATCAATATTTTTCTTTTCTAGAACTCTTTAAAATGTTTTTTCTCTAAATCTTATCATAAAGTTTTTCAAAATCAACAAAATGTCATTTTTAATCATCTTTACTCTTT